CTGAGGAGACTCGTGGGATTTCAGTAGCGAGTCTATTCATGCTGGTTCCAACGAAACCACAAACACTGAGCAGACTAAATTACAAAACAAATCTGTCAGGAAGTCTTACGTGCTAATGGGACATCCAGCCTGTACCTTAAGACACACTTTGCAAAGATGGGCAGTGAGGAGGAGACACTGAAAATCTTGCAGGGTTGATGAAAAAAGTAAGTGAAAGAATAAGTAAAGCTGCCCTCAGCCACTCAGAAATGTGTGACCCAACACTTCAGAGCACAAATCAGTCTTCAAATGCTTCGGATAGGGTTTCCAGTTTGTTACATTTGCATTGCAATCTCTCCAGAGAGTACATCACTACAAGTAGTTCTGTTTTCTTGCTGAATTTATCAGTTCTGAAATGCCAAGGGGGCTACAGAATCCAGCTGTAACTAGTAAACTGGATGTATTTGAGAGGTGCACTAGTTTTGAGGGCTCTGATTAAAATTTCAAAGAAATCACAAATGGCATAGCACTAACTGTGATCAGAAACTGCAATGGGCAAATACATGGATAACAAGAAAAAATTATTTTCTATGATATAGGAATAATTTGCTAATATTTAAAACACATTAGATTCTGAAGTATTGACTTTACTAATTTCTTGCTTTATAATTTTGTAGAACTTGTCATGGGTTCTATTTTATAATACTATTCAGAAAGTGCATAATCACCCCAAATAATTCTGGATTGAACAAGAAGTATGTGATTGTGATACATGCCCAGCCAGTATGCCACAGTCAGATAAGTATTCTGGAAGTTTCTGGTTGTAGCATGGAGGAATTTACATGAAATTTGAGGAATCTACACAGAAAAGGTGCTAAGAAGCCAGTGTGCAATTAAAGGCAAAAGGTTTGGTCAAGAAAGTTCTTGCCAGAGGAGTTTAGGGGGTGATTGCTGCAGTAGATGAATTGTGTGAATTAGGTCTTGGGGAATATACACAGTAGGCTGGGCAGAGCAGAAGTCACATCAGGTGAGGAGCAGCTTGAGCCAGGATGCAGACAATCAAGTGAATTGGAAGGTTTACCAGTGGACTGTTTTGATGGCATGGGAAGAAAGCCCAAAACAGACTGGTTGACACACAAACAACACTTGTTATTGTGTATGACCAGATAGGCCTGTGGGTGGGTTGTGTCTTTGGAGGCAGGTAGAAAGTGCTCATTCAAAACCCAGTTTGCTTCTATGCTTCACATTTATCTCACTGAGTTCTCTGAGTCCAATATCATGTGGTATTGGCTTGAGAAGCCATCATCTGGAAAACTGGCATTCATTGCAAAGATGAAATTCCAGAGACAGTTTCAAGGTGTCTTGTTGACATGGGTAGGTGTCTATCCTGAACCTGTCAGCTTAGGCTTGTTTCTAGTGGCAGCCCACCACTTCCCCGCTCATAGATTTGGTAGGGCCACCTTCACCGGAGTCATAATGGGAGTGGAAAGGTGTCCAAAAAGAAACTAAGGCAAAGGGGTGATATTCTAGATGAGCCACTGTCTGCTAAAGGGACACAATGGGTCCACTGATGTCACGAATCAGTTCTGAGTAATAACAGGAACTCGACACTGGAAAATTTTACTGTCAGTGCATTGGCAAGACTGGGACAAGGATTTAGACTTTATGAGGAATTGTAAATAAACTGGACCTTGTGAAAATTGACCTGTCAGCTACTTGCAGGATGGACTGGAGATTGGGTACCCCAGAGGGAAGTGGGTGACCTCTGTTGGAACTCTTCATATTTCAATAGTCACAAAGTCCATAATGTATCTATTGTGTGCTGTGAACTGTGGAGAATTCAGAGACGGCACCTAAGACTTGATCATGGCCCTTTATAGAGTCTATAAGATGGGGAAGAAAACAGTCAGTCATAATTTATGCGAGACACACAGTAAATGCACTACATACCACATTGTTGTGGGAATGGGGATGGGTCCCATTAGGAGTAAAATGAACCGCAGTCCACAGAGCTAGAAACAGAATGTTTTGGGGCTCAGGGAGCAGAGGCTGGGGGGTAGAAAATCCCTTTATGTGATCTTTGGTTGCAGTTATGGATAACTACTACAGTGGCCCAGATGGGCAGGAAACCCTCATTTCTGTAGTGAGCACTGGGTCTAGGAAGTCACAGTCCCCCCAGATTCAGAGTGGCTTGGACTGGGTAGATCCTGACTTATTGTTCCTCAAGATTTTCTTGATAATCAGCATGGGGGTACCCGCAGCATTTGGTCTTGGATACTGTCTTCGGCTAGGGTCTTCCCCTGCTACTTGGGATGAGAAGGAGATGGAGTGAGCTGTGTGCACATGGAGACTCTGCTTTATCCTGTCACAGTAGATTACAGAGTAAATGCTTGCTTGGGCCTTGTGCAAAAGACATGAGATATATTCTGAGTGTGGTACATGGGCAAATCCTTCTACATATTGAGCCTCAACCTCAGTCCTATATAGACAGAACACTGGGCAGAGATGCTTTGGACAGCTCTTTTACTCTTAAGCATCTATAAATTCAATGGAAACTGCCTTCTGACCCTTCTTCTAGAACATACAATAAGGATATTTCTAAGAAGTGCTTTGAAATGTGGGAGCATGTAAGCACACAGAAGTTTGTCTAGGAAGGTGACCATTTAGAAAGCTAGTAATTAGAGAGATAAGCAGGACATGTGGAATTGAGCACTTAAGCAAGACAGAGAAAGGCTTCCCTAGGCAAAGGAGCAAGAAGGAAGACAATATGATCACCCCAAGAGAATCTGAAGAAGGAAGGTTAAAGTGAGGGAGCATCTGAGCACCAGCAGCTTCTGCATTTCCAAAGAAATGTCCTTTTTCAGTGGCATGTGACTTAGAGCAGCTGAACACACAGCTAATCATAGCCATCTAAGGGAGATGAAGAACTAAATGTTTGAAGGTCCATGAGAATTCAACAGGGAGAGTCACAGTTCATGTCTACTTCAACAAGTCTGTGATTGAATTGTTGCATAAGATGCGCCAGGCAAGAGCACAGAGCGGGTGGGGCTGGGGGATGTCTCTGAGTCAATTTGTGATAGGGGCATGCCTTTGCTTCCATCACTTAATTTGAAAATCTAGCATCAAATTACAAAGGCGAAAAGAAACTGTCTCACACCTCTGCAAGCCTTGGCTGCCTGAACATTTTCATACATCCAATTTTATCTGCAGCAATTCTGTGAGTGTGAGAAGAGGCCATGGCTGCTCCTTGTATTGCATAATGATGGAACTGAATGAATAGGCCACACAGAGCAGCGCACATTCCCTGTGTGTCCTTCCATGCTTGACTGACCGCCAGTGTTGCCCCATCAGCATTCTGTCCAGGGCCAGTGAGTTTTTCATCCACAGAAAGGTAGAAATACAACTATATTTTTATGACCAGGAGACGAGTTTATATTACCCTTGGATTAACTACAGAATGCTTTTTATGTCAGACAGACTAAATAGACATCTGTTTTCTACAAACATCCACCTCCACACAAACAGAGCCTACTCAGTTTGCTTTGAAAAGCAAAATACCATGTGTTGTGACTTTACAATGTTTTAAATAAAGTTAGGAATTTAGGTTTGGGAGACTGACATTTTCATGAAATCAGTGGGTATGAGACCCAAACCTAGACATATGAGGTCCTTTAAAATTCATTGAGGGGCAGAATCAAGGCAGACATTTCAACAGTGGCCATTGGATCGTGTTTTAGCCGTTCTGTGAAGCGAGAAGTAAATTATTAAAGTTTATCGCCCTCATTGGCTTCTAACACTGTTACTCAGTGTGTGCACGGTTTTTAAAGTGGAAACTGCTCAGCCTAAGTAAGCCATTTACTGCCCCGGTTCAACACGCTGTCTCTATTTCGCTCTTTATTACTTCATTTTGGAACTTTGATTGCTTTCTTTTAGATGTAAGATTGTTCTAATGCTATTCTGCAATCGTATGAGGGGCTTAGTTTTCACTTTGTTCTCAGAACCAGGCTGGCCATAAATTTATCTCAGTTCTTTGAAGAAACCAACAGTAAAATTTCCAGAGGAAAAAAAAATGGCGGCAGATATCCTCCCAGAGGGAAAGTAACCTCTTAAAAACAGAGCAGCCTCCAGGCTACATCCCTTTAAAGAGGGACTTTCAGGCAAGGATGCCTTCACCTTCCACTGTGACCCATATTCAGTATTTTTCTCCAGGCTTTGTGCCTGCTCTTCTGCTTTCTGTTAAGGTTTTGCTATAATGGCCCAGTCCCTCCCTATGCCCCCTAAATATAAGATGCAAATGAGATGAAGTCACACTGTATCCCCATACTGATGTTGTAATAACTTCAAGGGTTACAGCCTGGTAGCACTTCCCAAAGATCATCTGAGGTTTCATTGATATAAATGGGCATAGAGACCAGAGGTAGGAATTCTCAAAGAAGACAAAACAAAAAGTCACTTTTATGAAAATGGATTGTGTAAAGTGAAACCCATAGGATGTAGTCCTTTCAGGCATTGGCTTCATTAAAATTCACCCTGCCCCTCCCAAGGTTCTGCCATAGCCCCTCATCCAGAGACAACAAGATCACTGCAAGTGAAAATTGCTAACACAGTAGGGAGAGCTTGTAGCTATGTTTCCACTTCTTATGACTTTATCAGCCTTCAGCCTTATTATTCATGTACCCTAAGCTGCCTGTTGGCCAATGTGACCCAAGAGGCTTTCTTACCTGTCACACACAAAGGACTGAAGCTCCCCCTTAATGTGGGGATGATTCTGGAAGCCACTGGGTGACAGATATGAAGCTGGTAGCACTGGATAGGTTGCAACCTGAGACATTGCCTGTGCCTGCTGGCTTCGTGATCAGGTCCTTTAACCAGCTCCCCAAAAATGGTGACTGTTGACATAAGTGAGTGGTGATGGGCAGGTTAGCTTAGCCAGCACACTTTCCAACTGCAAAACCTCTAGAGTCTCTCCTGCCATGTCCCCTGGCCTAATTGTCCTCTTTCTCATTTTATGCCCCTGCTAGACCACCGCTCTTGATAAGGAGAGGCAGGTTTTCCGACGAAGACGCAACCAGGATGTGAGGAGCCGGTACAAGGCACAGCCAGCTCCACCAGAACTCAACTCGGAATCAGAAGACTACTCCCCCAGCTCCTCTGAGACTGTTCGCTCCCCCAATTCGCCCTTTTAATAAGACCCTTTTACTCAAAGTACTAGCTTAACCCTTTAAGACTCTGAGACTCCCCCTCCCCCAAACTTCTGTAAAACAGGTTCATCTGATCTATCTAGCACTCAATGCTTGAATGGCAGAACAGAAAGTATGTTTTGGGTACCTTTGTAGCAAGTTCCCTTTACTGAATGAGAAGGCATGTGGTGTTTGTGACGATGGTAATTTGCTGCTAACAGGGGTCCTTAAAGGGTTAAGGTTAATTTGCAATTTTTTTTAACATAGAAGCAATGAATGTTTTCATCAGTCAAGCTAGGATCTGCAATATGTAATAGCACATGTTAGCCCTCTGAGTGCATAGAATTTTCTTTAGAATCCTTGCTGGGGAATTTTTCAGAACCTTGGGTATATTCATACACATTTCTTGATTTTGCTGCAGACTAAGGGGCGTCATTAAGACCCTAAAATGTCCACACAAGGAGAGCATGGGGGTTGATCCACTGTGGATCCTTCTCTGTGGGCTTAGAACATGACAGGTTGTATAATGTCAGCAGATGCACCCCTTATTCCTAACCATCTTATGAAGAAGGGGGATCCTTTTCCTAAGTAGTAAGCTGGTTAGCTGCAGCCAATTCTCTGTTTTTATTGGAGGGAACTGGGTTTGTGACAGCCTCACCCAAGTGATTGACAGTGTCTCTCCCTGTCTTCATGCAAAGATGTGCTGATGATGCCCCTGAAATGCTGCTTCCCCATTAGCTGCTGCTAGAGCCAGGCAGACCCTCGGGGAATCACCTAGCCCTGGCTTGTGCTTGGTGAGTTGGGATCTGTCTGCTCAGGATCAGAAAAGATCTAGAAATTACTGGTGAAAAGAGCAATAAATTACCAGGTGCTCTACAGGGCTGGAAATCCATCCAGCAAGGGAAAGCAAGGTCCTGTGATTTTTTTTTCTTCTCAGCTGCTTTTACACGGGACTGTAGCAACCAGTGAGAAACCAACACAGAGTATGAAAGATCTTGGGCTAGAGGGAGCAAGAGGCAAATGCTTTGCAAAGTGGCAGACGAGAAAGTACAGTGGGCACACAATCCAAAAGCTTCTGAAAATGGGTTTCATAGAAATAAACCAATTCCATTAGTAACTCTAGGCACCTGCAAGTCTCCCAGAAGACATGTCAGAGGCTGAAACTGCCACTCCCACTCATGATTTCCTTTAATATAGTGTGGACTCTAGCCATCCAGGAGAGATGTGTTGCTTTTGTGGTTTGGGGCCAGGGCCTGATTGGGACTGGTTCTCCACTCCTGTTACCCAATCTGTCTCCCTAGACCTGAGTTTCTTTGGGAGCTGATCGCATTTCAGAATATGGGCTTGTTGCTTCCTGTTCAGTGTCCGTGTCCCAAAAGGACTCAGGGGTGTCTGGGAGGCAGGGCTCAACTCAAATGTTGCCCTAATGTTTTCTCAGCTTGACCCAGGAGAAAGAGAAGAGTGATGGCTACAAGTGGTCCTTATTTTCTCATTCTTATTTTGAATGTATTTTAATGTCTTGAAAGTTATGAACAACCTTTCCATTGTCAGGTCTTTATTTTCGAACTCCACACTGATCTTCAACTGCTGTGTTTATGCAGTCTTTAAACCATGTTCTACACACATATAAACTTTTAAATAACACATTCTCACATTTCCTGATCATCCACATTTAAATCAACATTTATTTAGCTTTTCTTTCTTTTAGAGAGCCAAGAAATGATAGCATATAAAATCACAAAATGGTATATATCAGCATATTATTTAAATTGGGTGTTGGGAGTAGACAGGGCACAGACCACCAGGAAGGGTGTTGATTTGTAGACAAAGTTCATATTGGTGAAGGACCTAGAACTGGTCGGAAATCACTGGTTTCTCTGGAACAGAAAAGCAGAGCACTTTTATTCTAAGATTAACAAGCAATGGCATAGCTGAGCCTCAACTCCATGTGTATGACTATGAAACACCCTTATGGGCAATAGCTGAGTGCCACTTTTCCTGTCTCTGAATTACTGCTTTCCCCCTGGTTATTAACATATGGCCACAGCATCCAGGACTCCAGGCCCATAGTGAAGGGCTCTGGCTTTTGTCTATCATCATTTAGGGGAACTCGAGAGGATTTCTCATCATGTTGCAGAAGGCCAGCTCAGAGGAAGTCAGAGCCCACTCAGAAGGAAGATCGCATCACACCCCTATAGAGTTTCAGTGATCTGTGCTGAATAAGCAGCGGGACGCGACCTGTCAAATAGAAATACTGATCAATTGGATGGAATTCGGTAATTCAGCAGTGAGCTACTGAGATCTTAGATATCAGAGGTGTAACTCAGAGGGGGAACAAATAGGCACATGTGGATGACTCGCTGTGCCCAGATTGCTTTGGTTTTAGCCAATACTAATTTTATTGCCCCTTGACATTCTCGGAATAGTTCCAGTTTGAAATGATTAAGTGGCGGTGTTCTTTGAATTTGTATAATCAAATCAATCTTACTTTTTATTTTGTGTATCATGTGCCATTAAGGCTGTGTATCTCTGTAATTATCCACTTCTCCATCATGAGTGTTTCCATATTTTTGAGCATTGAATATAACTCTATGGTGGTAGTTTGGTGATGGGAATTGCCCTTTCCTTTACTAAGAGGATAGCCCTGTCGTATTTAAAGGAAGCTTTCAGTTTGAGAGTAGAGTAGTTGAGCAAACCTTTATTACTTGCTTCCTGACAGTCAATTCTATAGATGAGACCCGTTCATATTAATGAATACATTTACCCCTCAGCGTTGTAGCAGAAACCACTTTATTTGTCATGACCAATAAATATGTGATTTGTTCCAAACCATTAGAAGGTAAAGTTAAGAACGTCAGTCCCTGGAAATGTCTGGCCATACACTCATCTAACTCACACGTGGTGTGTATTAACATAAGCAGAGGAGGGAATGTGAATAAACAACGGAAAACACTTGATGTTTTGTGTTCACTGAGACTTTCCTACAGCCTGCTTAGCTCTCACTTACGAGTGGTGGCTAACAGGCCTGTCAGATACTGTTGAAAGAGAGCAGTATATCTGTGAATGAAGGCTAAAATTGCAATCCTTTACCCTTTGAGGCATATTTCAGTTGGAAAAAAAAGGGAAAGAAAAATTGGCTCAGGGTCGCAGATCTACCCAACTACCAGGACTCGAGCGTGTTAAATCACAGTTGTTTGCTGGCCAAAGGCATCCGTTAGACAACTCTATGGCCTGTGCTGAAGTGCAGTTGTGCTGAGGGAGAGCTTTCTCCACATTACTGTATTGCCTCTAGCCCTTCTCTGGGTAAAACCCTGTCAGCATTTCCATGATAAACTCCCATTCTGGAAGGTTTTTAATTTGACCATAAAAATGTGCCTCAGGGTGAAGTTGGCTATTTGGGGCCCATACTGAAGAGTGGTGGGCACATCTCACACTTCTCAACTTCTTCTTAACTCCTGAGGAAAACGCAACACCAAGAATTCTGGTGCGCTGCCTTCCTTGTGATTCCAGAGTTCTGGCATGCCCCAAGATCCAAGACGGTAGTTTTAACATAATGACTCATTTGGACATGCTTTTTACAAAATGGATCACCTAGCATATAGTATAAAATATTTTTATTATTTGTACATCTTTTTAAAAATTACTACCTGGTTTTCTATTTCTTATTTTCTTTTTGTCAAAAGAATTTTTTTAAAAACTTGAAGTTGATCAACTCAAAGGTCCTCTTTTCCCATGAGCTGCCTGCCACTTCCATTGGTAATTTGGGAAAAAACTCCCTGACCCAACAGAGCTTTGAATGCTGTGTGGAGGATTAGACACATGTTTCTTTGGAAATCTGGATTTCCAGGTTTATCCATCAGATTTCATGAAATCACTCTTGTCTGCTGGGAGAATAGTGGCTAAAAGTGCCCCCACAATTAACACTTTTGTCAACTCAGATTGGAAGCCAGCGGAAAACAACACTTCATACTCTCCTGTTTAAAGGCAAATAAATCAGGGAAACTTGAGGACATATGAAACATTTGATGACTGCAAAAGTGCTTTACAATTGGGCTCTACGGTGCTTACACATGGAACAGTTAAGAACTGGGACCCCGGGATGTCAGATGGAATCTTTAGTTCGTATGTAATTACATACAGATGGGGGAGGTGCTCTGAGCTGCTCTTTTGTTTTTTAATCATCTCAAATATGCAGCCAGCCAGCCAGTAGCATTAAGGGTCATAAACTGGTGGGAAACAGGAAATCTAAGGTAGACGGTTAGAATGCCTCTGCTGGGGCATTTTTGTTTGTTTGTTATTGTGCACAGGCTCTAACAGGGAGGCCTCTGTGGTCATTTTTCAGTAAGTGAGCATTTAACGGGCAGGTGTGGTGATCATGCCAGATGAGGGATAGGGATCCATTGTTTCCCATCAAGAAAAGGCAATCTCTCTCAACTGTACCTGAACATTTCCTCAACATTTTTGTGTTTGTTCTTGGTCAATTAAACTGAAACCCTTAACGTTACTTTGATGTAAACTTGTATATTTTTGACTGTGACATACTTTAATTAATTTAAAGTAATTAGTGCTTAAGCTTCAGAACTATGGTGTTAAGAGTAGGATTTTAAAGTGGTGTTAAACATCCTAACAAGTTCAGTTCACCCCAAGTCAATCAGCTGTAGGCAGGAACAGACCTTGACTGGTTCTCTGGGGCAACTTCTCACTTGCCCTTGACATTAAATCCTTGGTGTATTAGAAGAATAAATAAAAAGAAATTGAAACTGGTCCAAGGTTAGAGTCATATCCTTGACAACTTTTTAAAAAATTATTAGGAAATTAATATTAGCCTTTTTCATTCAGACTGAAAGAAAATTATTAAAGGACTAGTTGTGCGTGAAATTAAATAGTATTTTGCTTTTGCATACTAAAGAAGTGGGCTGGGGACTTGACACATTTAACAAGTTTCCCAAAAGGTTTTGATTTGGAGGAGAAAAAAAGAATCCAACGTTTCCTTTCCATTCTGACTTTGTCACTTGCTGCATGGATCAGATGGTGTAGGTTAGTGTCTGGTTTTGGAATCCCAGTGAAATAACTTTCAAACGATTTGTACCCATGATTAAAGGTGGAATGAGATCCATCCCCCCCCACCCCGTCCTTCAGTTTAAGCTCATAAATTGTAGGTGACTGTGGAATGAAATCATCTGTGATATATTATGTTCATTTACCAAATGAGCTCTTTTGATGTTGCCTGTTTTTATGTAAAACATGTTCTTAAACTAATAAAGTAATATCTCTTGGTGTACACAATGCCCTTCGCTGCTGGACCAGCTCTTCCGTTTACATTGTCATCATGGAGTAAAATTTCATTTCAGTTCAATTCAGAATTGACACATTCAGTCCAGAGTGGAATAACCCAGCTGTGTTCAGGGTTGGGGGGCAGGGTATTCTCTATAGGAGGCTTTAAAAATTAGTCATGCGGTCAGAATGTAGCTTTCCCACATGTCCTCCACTGCACAGTATGTATTTCATGAGCATAATTCAAAAACAACTATTCCAAAAATGTCCCTTTTCATATATTACCTTCCTGGCTGGGCCAGTGAGTTGGACAAACACAGAGAAATCAAATACTATTCAGCCTTATTTTATCCTTCAACCTACATGCACAAGCTCACCGGAAGAGAATGTTATTTTAGCGGCTAACTTGTAATTAGCTGCCATTTTGTTGCCCTTTCCCATTAGGTATTCCACATATTTTTTTCTAAGGTTACAGAGCTGTACGATGGAAGAAAGTTCTTTCTTATTGTGGTTTCAGTGCCTGGAGATTGGAAAGTCAGCCAGCGAGAGTGACTACAAGTCACCTGGTGTCACTTTTATAAATATCTTTCTGTGGATATCACTTTTATGATATTTTATTAATATCTCCAAGCCCTTGTAAAATTAGCAGTCACCTTCCTTGCTACCCATGGGCTGTTGAAGCACCCTTTGCTTTCTGTAGAGAAATCACTGGGCCTTGCCTGGACTCTTCTGGCAAGTTCTATGAAACAATGACCAAAGTGATTGCTTCCTAAGGTCCTTTATCTTGTTTTGTGAGACTGGTGGCTTTGACAAAGATCTGCCACTCAAATATAGGAGGAAAGTCCTGGTCACAACTCTGGTGTTGAAGATGATAGAGCTGCCACACATGGATAACAGGGAAGGAATAGCCTTCCCTGACTACAGGCTGATGGGAAGCTGGGAGGGTGGGACATGTATACAGAGTGGGCAGTTACAGAAACAGAGCTAACTGGGCTCTGAGAAACAGGTATAGAAGCATCATGGAATTTTCCACATCACATCTCCTGAACAGAATAAGAAAGTCTTTCCTATATCTTAAGAGGTAGCCTCAGCCTGGTCCAGTCTCCTCAAAGAGGGGCACTAAGACAAGACACAGGGCCACACCCAGCCAGCTGGAACAGCCAGATACATGCTGGCCAACAGCACTGTGACAGATGTCCAAGCCAGCTTGCCTGCACTTCAAATCATTCATTCAAGTGTTTCTTGAGTGAGTGCCAGAACTATGGATGACACTTCATTTGGGCTTAGGAAAAATAACAAAACAAACAAACAAAATAAAAAACCCATTGCCCGTTTTATTTTTTGCTTTGGGTCAGAAGACTTGGAAAACAAGAAAACATACTTGGGCTGACAAAGATGCCATTTATTGCAATTCTTGGTTTAGCATCCAGATGACCTATCTACACCTAGCAAGGCCTTGTATGTTTACAACAACTTTGATTCTTGAAAAGGTGTGTCTGCCATCTGTCCTTGTGGTGGTACACACCCCATGGTGCTCTTGGCTTGGCTCCTGGACTCCTGGGCTCTGAGGTAGATGGCATCCCAGAGTTCTCCCTGCCATCTGGAATCAGCATAAGATTTTAACTTCTTATTCTACATTATATACTGCAATATTCCCATGGATTCAACAAACTTAACCAAGAGCTACTGTGAGTGATACATAGTTCAGGCTAAAAGAAACCATATTAGTACTGTTCTTAAGACCTTCATTTTAGCAAGAAATCTTCTACTCTTTGGTCATGTGGAGCTACTGATTTATCACTCACAGATGGCCAAATACCAGCCTGTCAGGGGCACAACATCCCTACCAGCTTGTCACTGGCTCTCAGCATGTGTAGGCTGCCGGCAATCCAGCCATCAGTCACATGTAACTAGATCTGTGGTCTACCCACTCTACTGTACTCTTAGAAAGGGGAAAAGAAGGTGAAGGAAGATAGAGCTGATGACACTAAAGGTGGAAGAAACCAAAGTGTCACATAGGTAGTTGAAAGGAAAGAAAGTATCTTTCACTCAATGCACTCTTCCAAATCATGCCAAGAGATGCTCTGGGTGGGTGTGTGGCTCTAAAGTTCTTGATGCCATCCACATTCTTCATCCAAGAGTACTGTGCCCTTGTGACAGAGTGAACAGTAAAAAGATGCCATAAATGGCTCTTTCAGTGCACCCCATCGTAAACCACATTTCTTTGTCCATTCTTCCTGGACTTTCCAGATCTCCAAGGACCCATTCTTCTTACACCTAGCAGAAGTTCAGCCTGGGACCCCACATTCCCATCCCATGTGAGTCATACTCTTACCTCCAGTTAAGTCCCCATCACGTGGTTGTCCCTGGGGCAACTAAATATACGATCCACTACCATCTTTCTAGGTTCATAGAAAGCAGTCATCCAGTGTGATCCCAGGTGCTATAGTAAAAGCACAAATGGGACACTTGGGAATTTCTAAGACCAATCTAATTGTTGTGAGGCATTCACAGATGGCTTCATGGAAGAGATCTTGCTTTGTTCTGTTTCTGCTACTCATAACCAAATACCATTGCGTTATAAAGGAAGATTATTATGATTCACAGTTCTGGAGGTGTCATGTCAAGGAGCCACATCTAATGATAAGTCTCTCCTGAGCATAGTGCAGAGGTGACTTGGAGGGAGGGTCAACATGGCCAGAACCTGGGAGTGCACATGTGGATGCTCTGTGCATGCTCTACTTACAAAGTCACCTGGATTCAATCATGGAGGCTTTACTCTATGACTGTATGCAAGTGAATTGCCTTTAAAAGACCCCAGATCTTTGGACCCCCCCAATGCCTCCTGTAAGAGTTAGATCTCACATGGTGAAGCCATGAGTGCTATACTCAAGCTCTAGCTGAGTCCCTGAATCAGGGTCTGAAGAATGAGAGGGAAGTGGGAAGAAGGCAATCATAGCCATGAGAACAATGCACAGACATTCAGAAAAGCAGGAATGACCCCAGCATGGGTGACATGGAGGCTCACCTTAGCCCCAGTGAGGCAGCAGACAGCCCAGGAACTGCGCCTCACCAACTACCACTGTGGTTTTAGGGAAGGGTGGGACTAGCCTATCTTACAGCTACATGACTGCATGAAAACCAAACAATTCCCATCCTAGCACTGGCCAAGGAGAAAGTGGAGCAAGAAGGCTTTTAAGGAAGCCAGCCTGGCTGTCTGGCATATGCTATGCCAGAAATGTAAGCAAACAAGCATGTATCTTCCCACTATGTCAGAATTTAATGCATAACAACAAATTCATAAGGTTTAGTGTGTTTAATGACAGCAGTATGTCATAAAACCCATCTGACCTGGGTTTTATGCCTGACCCAGCCTGATCCAGACAACTATGGGTTCTTTTATTCCCATCTGAATTGCTAATATTAACTCTTATAACACAAAGGTATGTATGCATGTATGTATGTATGTGTGCATATGAATACAAGTTAAACAGTTGCAACTGAGTCCAAAAAGCTTTGGAAATTGAGAAAAGATCTGCATAGAAAAACTAATAAACCAGACCCATTGGTGGAAGCTGCTGAGGGAGAAGCGGATGAATTCTGAAAGGGCTGGCCTGGGTCTGGAGCAGGGAGTGGTTCAGGAGCGGGAAACGTGTCTTATCTAGGTACAGACAGGTGGATACAGGCACTGTAGGCTGCTCCAACCTATAAGAGGATGGGATGGGGGGGTCAATTGAAGGTGGGATATTAATGAGCTCACTAGACCCAAGATAAATGATAAATGGGTGTTTTATTGGGGAACAACTTACGCAGATAATAGTAAAGAACCACCACAGCGTTCCTACTCCAGAAGATGCAGTCTCTGCCCTTCCAATTCAATCTAAGACCCAAGACAGAGAGCCTGCCCCAGCTTCTCTACCTTCTGGTCTTGTCTGCACCTGAAGCCAAGGCCAAAGGGGTGTGGCCACTAACACAAATTCACTGGCAAGGCAGATGCTACTACAGGGGGTGTTAATTAATCCGAGTAGGTGAGTCCTTGATAGGCTGGTGTGCAGCCATGCCATCACAGGGTGTATGTCCATCTCTTTCCAGAGTCCAGGTGGGAGAGGTACATCCTTTCCTCAATCCGACATGTCAGTTCAGTTTGGGGGCTTGCTTTCCCTATATGATCTTAATGTACCTGCCTGCCCCCGTAATCTCAGTTCACCCCCAATAAATTTACAGGGCAGCTCCCTTTCTGTTCCCAGTGTGTGCTGGATGGGTGGTGCCTGGCAGATGGTGGAGTTTCTGGGTCCAATCAGAGGCTGCTACCATTCTCTGCCTTCAAAATGGAGTTTAAAAAAAAAACCAAAGAAAACCCACTTATAAAATGCAGTTTCCCAAGGCAAAGCACAGCCTAAGAAAACATGGTTTTATACAACACAGAGTAACTTAGAGCCTGACACAGCCTGGCCTCAACACCAGTCTTGAGCTGAAATAGAAATTGCTCTCTCAGCTATAACAGAGGCAGCTTCCCAGGCAAACAAAAGAACCAAACACATGTAACCCCATCCCAATGAGAAAATGTCCTCCTTGCAAAGCTATGGCTCTCTTCCTGTGGGAAAGATATTCTCTCCTAGGCTGTTTCTCCTTGCTCTGGACAAAAGAGGAGGAGGAAGAGGAGGGAGAGACGTGGAGGAAGAGGCAGAGGACAGCAGGGAGGGAGAGGAAGGAGGAAGGGAGGCAAGGAGGAGAGCCACTGACCCTGAAAATCGCTCTCCTACCTTCCTCCTAGACAAGTACACATTGTCACCTTTCCTTGATAGCAGGGTGATAATTAATGTTCCACCCAAGAGAGGTTTCATTTTTCCAGCAGAATTACCTATTAATTTGCTGGATTCTTCTGATTAAGCAGTGAGCCTGTCAGCATGGGCTCATCATTCCGCACATCCTTTCATTTTCAACAACTAAATCAAGGCCGCAACCAACCCAGACATTTTCAATTTCCTCTCTCACCATGTGGACGTCCCCAT